GTAATCGAGCTAATCAGGACAGGAGAACACCGGGTTCTCATCCTGTGTGTGTGTGCGTGTGTGCGTGCATGTGCATGTGTGCAGATGCTCTCAGCATGTTTTCAGAGCAGTCGATGAGTTGGCCAGGACAGGAGAACACCGGGTTCTGTGTGTGTGTGTGCGCATGCATGCATGTGTGTGCGCAGATGCTCCCAGCATGTGTTTTCAGAGCAGTCGATGAGTTAACCAAGACAGAAGAACACCAGGTTCTCACCCTGTGAGATTAAGGAGTAGATTCTCCCTAAAAGTGCGCCTTCTGAGGAAGCGTGGTGGTCTCCAGGGGAGTGGGGAGTAGAACCTCTGGGGCCTGTGACCAGCAGACCAGCTTGGCGAGCACGTGGCAGGGATGCACCACCCAAACCCGGCTGTTCCGGCCCGTGGGATCCCTGCTGCTTCTCTGCCCACTGCGCTCCCTGCTTCCGCCATGATTTGTGGTTTGTCAGTGAATTCTTTTTAACCGTATCTCCAGTGGTTCCACGGAAACAAGGTCTGAAAATCTGCTCTCATAAAGACTACATTACCCACAGCTATTGAGTCAAGTCCAAGCAAGCACCTTCCTCAGTCTCCCTTGGAGTGGCTGGTGGGCTTGTACTGCCGCCCTTGTGGTTCGCAGTCCAGAGCTTATCCCACAGTGCCACCAATGCAGGGCTCCTTTCTGGTAGTGGGTTTGAACTGCTGACTCTGCAGTTAGCACTCCTGGAACCATACCAGATCTCCTTTCTTAGAGGTTTATTGTTGTTGAGTGAGCGTGTGGGGTCGCTGGGTGTGAGAATCGGGTAGGTGGTGGTCTCCCAGGTTTAGCAGCCACAGGAGAGATTGCAGTCGTGCCTTCCTCACAAGGGAGCCATGTCAGCTCTGACAGGATGCCTGTCCTCTTCTCTCCCCTCAGCGGACAAGGAGTGGTGAAGCTGGACGTTCAGCCAAAGTGCGTGGCTGTCGGCCCCGGGGGATACACGGTGGTCGTGTGCATCGGGCAGGTATGTGGTGGTGTGGCTTTGGCAGGATGAGGGAGAGAAGCGAGAAGTGACAGGGTGGAGCGCCTAGCTGTGGGGAGTCTGGTGTCTCAGTTCCCTCCACGTCCAGTTAGGCTTCCCCAGCGCTGACCACGATCACATGGCTCTCGTGAGTGCTATCCTGAGCCCTTCGTGTGTGTGCCCTCATCCAGCCCTCACCGCAGCCCTAGCTGTTAGATACGTTGTCGGCCCCCCACTTCACAGAAGGCTAAACTGAGGCACAGAAAGGCACTGGGGCTTGACCTGGGTGTGTAGTTGAGGGAGGTGATGGGTGGAGCAGGGTTTGGATCAGCCTTCATCAGAGCTATGTGGACTCAGGCATTTCCTCAGCCTCTCAGAGTTCTCATTTTCCCATCCCTAACAAGCCCACAGGGTCAGTTATGAGGAAACATATAAATGTTCCTATTGCAGTGCAGCCGGGGCTAGGTGTGACTGGCCTCTCCCCTCAAGGCTACATCATCAGCAGGAAGCACTATGGCCAGGAAGTGTTTGTTCTGGAATTTGGGCTGAGTGTTGAGTTTGACCCACTTTACACAGAACTGCCTTCCTTTGTAGCGAGCTGTAGTCTGTGGCCATGGGCATCCTGGCGTGTAGACGGCAGAAGGCATGTGGTGTGGCCATCCTGTTGGCACAGGCAGCGAGCTGCTGGAATGCTTCCACTCGGGACCCCACTTCATCGCTTTGAGAGAACGGGTTTCTGTGTGCCCCAGATGGTCAGCCAGGTAGAGAAGGAATAGGTAGACAGAGTGCAGAGTGAGGGAATGTTCTGGAAGGTCCTGGTGTCAGTGGTAGGAGCCTGCTTCCTGACTCGTCATTGCCCCCCAGCCCCTCTGTGGTCCTGGCTCAGCTCTGACAGGATGCAGGGCCTTACACAGGCCTCTGTTTACCCCCTGTGGTTACGAATCGGGCTGAGAACCACAAGGTCAGCAGTTCGAAACTACCAGCTGCTCTGCAGGAGAAAGATGAGCCTTTCTGCTCCTATAAAGATTTACAGCCTTGGAAACCCTGTACAGGGGCACTATGGGTTGGAACCGACTCCACGGCACACACACAACAACAACAAACCAGGGTGTAGCGTGAGTGCTCCGTGTGGAGACTCAGAGGTTGAGCTGGGTGCCCACCACTCAGGAGGTGCTACCAAACTACACCCAGCAGCTCAAGGCCTGACCTTGTGACCTGACCACTCAGGCAGATCTGGGAACCCCAAATCCTTGGAGCATCTTCTCGTAGCCCCTCTCCCCACTAACCTCAGGAGCCCCAGGGGGTGGGGAGAAGAAACAGGACCACTCTGACAGTATCTCCCTATAGGGCGAACCCATCACTGTCCCTCAGCCCTGCCACCTACCCCTGCTCCTGACCCACTGAGGGACAGGCAGGCCCTGCTGGAAGGTTGCTAAGGGCATTTCTTGTGAGAGTCCGGAATGAAGAGAGAAACACGTCCATTCATGTCCTCACTCAGCTTCACGGGGTGTCACTCTCGGTGACAAGATCCTCATGAGGACTTCGTTAACTCTGTCTTCTAATTAGAGGAACTAAAGACGACAAACGCGCTACATTGGCCAGGTGGTAGCAGCAGTGGACTCAAGCATGGCTATGATTGTGAGGTGGGTGCAGGACCGGGCAGTGTTTGATTCTGTTAGCATGAGGTCGCTATGAGTCAGTACTGACTCGAAGGCACCTAACAACAGCAACAAGGAAAATAAAAATCCTTACAACTGGACCAGTAAGCAATATTATAATAGGTGGAGAAAAGATTTAAGGTCACGGATTTAATTTTTTTAGATCAACTATCAACACTCACGGAAGCAGCAGTCAAGAAATCAAATGACGTATTGCATTAGGCAAATCTGCTGTACAAGACCTTTTTAAAGTGTTGAAAAGCAAAGGTGTCAGCTTTAGGACTAGGGTGCGCCTGACCCAAGTCATGGTATTTTCAATAACCTCATATGTATGCAAAAGCTGGACAGTGCATAAGGAAGACTGTAGAAGAGTTGATGCGTTTGACTTACGGTTTTAGAGGAGAATATTAAAGATACCTTGGACTACCAAAAGAAGAAATAAATCTATCTTGGACGAAGTACAGCCAGAGTGCTCCTTAGAAGGCAGGATAGGGAGACTTCGTCTTTCATTCTCTGAACGTGCTGTCAGGAGGGACCAATCCCTGGAGAAGGACAACATGCTTGGTTAAAGTGAAGAGTCCCTGAACAGTCCTCAACAAGATTGAGGTGGGGTTGACACAGTGGCTAAAACAACAGTTGTGAGGGTGGCCCAGGACCTGGCAGTGTGCCATTTTTATGTGCGCGGGGCCAGTGTGAATCGGAACCAGCGCAGTAGCAACATCAAAAGGTCAAGGCTAATGGCTCCCTAGAATTGGAAGATGGTGCAGTTAGCAACAACAGTGATGTTGGTCAGAACACCGAATATTTGTTGAGAACACACCACTTTAGCAGGTATACTGTGACTCAATGTGTGCTTCACATTGGACAACAGTTCCCAGTCTCCTTTCCTGAGCTGCTGTTTCTCAGTAACCTAAACTCACTGGCCCCTAAGGTTCTTAGCTAGTCCTTCAGGATGGCTGTCGTCACTTTGTTCCCATGTAGGGAGCTCTTCAAAGAGCACAATGCTCAGAGCAGACTTTTCTTTACAACTTTGACTATTACTTGCTTTTTAAAAGACTCCAGGGAATATGTTTGGTTTAAAGATGACCTCAGAGCTGTAGTTTCAGGGGTTCATTCGGCCTCCACGCACCCTGGGAATCCAGAGCCCATGAGTAGCTGAAATTCTGTTCCGCGTTTCCCCCTTGTTGGTCAGGATTTTTGTGTAGAATCTGAGTGAAACACACCAGCTGTCCTTCCTAGACAGACCCTGCTCTTATCCCATTTGATAGATAGGGAGGAAGCATGACTCAGTGACCCAAAGCTAGGATAGGATCCATTCAGGTGACTGGCCGAGCTTCTCCACACGATCCTGCCCACCTAACAGGTCTGTGTGGTGCCCAAGCTTAGTCCAAGTGTGGACGGGGTCCTCCTCCTGCTGGCTGATGAGCCCGGCCCACCTGACTGACTTTGTGTCATCTAGATCATCTTGCTGAAGGATCAGAAGAAGTGTTTCAGCATCAACCCCGACTATGAGCCCGAGGTGGTGGCAGTGCACCCGGGGGGCGAGACGGTGGCTGTGGGGGGCACGGTAAGGCTCTTTCTCTCATACCCTCTGGTCTGCTGTGTGGGGGATGGTGAGGGGGACATGGTAAGACCCTTTCTCTCACACCCTATGGCCTGCTATGTTGGGGACTGTGAGGATGATGGGGGAGTCTCAGGACAGTCTCAGGCTAGAGAGAAGAGGTGGGGGTGGGCTCCCGAGAACCAGCCAGGGATCAGGAGACAAGGACCCTGAATGTGGAGCCAGCCCTCCTTCGGCTCCAGGTGAGAGTCCCCTGAGACGGCCAGGCAGTGTGTGCTCCATGTCAGAGCCTTAACATCAGGGTGGGCCCCTCCTTTGTAGACTGCAGTGTCTCCACGGGGCAGTACATGAGGGTGAGCCCCGAAGGGTGGTAGTACCCTGGCCATTCTGTCAGTGGACACTTGGCAAGCACGTCCTATATGCAGAGCCTGGCAGGGCTGAGCACAGTGGGGAGGAAGGTCAGGGGACCTGTAAGTCATCTGGGATCTGGCTCTAATTCCATGATCTGAGGTAGAAATGCCAATTCTCATCAAGGGGTCAAAGTGGAGTGACTAGAAGCCCCATTTGTACCTCATGCAAAGGGTGCAGTGTGATGTGGGAGGGTGGCTGACGGCGCTGTGTCCTTCTTCACAGGACGGTAAGGTCCGCCTCTACTCCATCCTGGGCTCTGCGCTGAAGAGCGAGGACCAGCTCCTGGAGGCCAAGGGCCCCGTCACCGACCTGGCCTACTCGCACGATGGCGCCTTCCTGGCTGTGTGTGATGCCAGCAAAGTGGTCATGGTCTTCAGTGTGGCAGATGGCTACTCGGTGAGCAGGCCACCTCTTTTCCCACCAGTGACTCAGGGCTGGGCAGTGCTGCTGGGCCCTGAGGGCAGGGCTCTTGTGGCCGCATAGAGTGCAGTTAGTTCCCTGGGTGAAGGGCTGTTTGTGGTCCAGTCAGGGCCTTGCTCACGCCCTGACCTCTCCACCTCCCTTTCTCCGTGGAAGAGTCCAGCCAGGTGAGCCTTCTCCCAGTCTCTGTACTTTGAGAAACCCCGTCAGCCCCCAGCACTGGTTGTCAATACTGCTGTGCATGTGGGCTCAATGGGGGACTGGCGGGTGGGGAAGGGGGGTGGCATCAGTCCTGTCCCATTCAGCCTCAAGGAGACTGTGCACTGGAGTAAAGTCACGGGGTGACCCCCCACAGGGACCCCAGGACGGGTGGGGGGCCCTGGACCCTCAGTGCTCCAGTGAACTGGCTGCCTTTCTGTCCCAGTGGTGCCCTGAGCATTCTCAGAGCAGCAGCCACCTCCCATCCACGTCTTCTACCTGAGATGCGCTGCTGCCGTCCTTACCACGAGGACAGCAGTTGCTTCCTTATTCCTTTTGCTATCAGCTGTCTATACACCGTTCAGTCCTCTTCAAGTGCGTGACACCCCCCCACCCCACTCCCAAGAAGGGTCCTCAATGAGCGAGAGCTCTGTCCACACAGCGGACTTGAGAAATCACAGGGTGTCTGGCTTGACCTCCTGTAGGGACTTCAGAAGGGTGGGGTGTGAAGAAGCCCAGTCTGTGGGTGTTGGGAAAAACATTGCTGCTTCTCCATGTCTGACCCCTGGGGCCCATACCTGCTTCCTGTCCGGATTCCCAATGCATAGGGAGGACTTGGGGGATGCCGACCCTGGAACTCACAGGCCTGTCCTCTCACTGCATAAAACGTGTATGGCGGGGGCCTGCACCCCTCTGTTCTGTGTCCCTGGAACCTGCAGAAGGGTCAATGAGTCCCCAGCACTCCTGAAGATGACTCGGGTCTGACCCCCAGCTCCTTCCTTTTCTCACCTCACAACTAGGAGAAGGAAGTTTTCTATGGGCATCATGCGAAGATCGTCTGCCTGGCCTGGTCCCCGGACAACGAACACTTCGCCTCCGGCGGCATGGACATGATGGTGTACGTGTGGACCCTGAGCGACCCTGAGACCAGAGTCAAGATCCAAGGTGACTCCGCGCCTGGGTTGTAGTCCCCAGACACTCCCGACACAGGAAGCTGTGTGCTGGCGGGGAGGGGGGCGCACTGCTGACCTCTCGTTCTGCCATTGCACCCCCACACAATGAACGCCCTGCACTAGTCGTTCTGTCTTCTTCAAAAACATTCCAGCAGGCACAGCGTCACAAGCATAGAGAAGCAGGGGAAGTATTCTTGATAACATACCTGAGCCAGCCTAGTCTCACTACCATGTTGGTGCTTGCCCCATTCCAAAACCCTGTGGAGCTGGTTAGTGGCTGCAGCCTGGGACGACCCAGCTCTGATGGAAGGAGAGGGAGCTGGAGACACGAGAGCCAACGGTTTCTGGGTCCAGTGCTCATAGGTGAATTCAGGAGTCAGCCTGGTGGTGTGGACGGGCTCTCCAGTCCCTCCCACGGGTCCCACCAAGCCAGGCCGTGCAGCTCAGTGGGGCTCCCCACATCGGTACCTGCCTGCCATGCCCACACTCGTGGCGTTCGACCCAAGGGCTGTGTTGCATTGTGGGTTAGATACAGGTGGGAGAACATTGTTAGGACCCATCAGACACGCCCCCACCTTTTGTTCAATGTTCTCTAAATCTCTGCTCTCCTTTGCTGTTGTTCACTGCCGCCAAGTTGATTCCAACTGTACAGGGTTTCCGAGGAACAGCTAGTAGGTTTGAACAGCCAACCTTGTGGTTCGCATTCCAGTGCTGATCAACAGCCCACACCAGAAGGCCTGCGCAGTAGTACACAGATATGCCGTGTATCCGTTTATGTGTTGTACATACACCATTACTCTGGACACAAAAACACCTTTCACCCCGAGGGGCAGGCAGGGCAGACCCTCAGTGGTACAAGCAGTTTTGTGACACTATAGGATAAGCACTGTACTACTAACTGCAAGGTCAGCAGTTCAAACCCACCAACTGCTCCAGGGAAGAAAGATGAGGCCTCAGAACCTCTACAGGATCGCTATGAGTGGAAATCAACTCGAGGTCAGTGAGTTTGGGTTTTGTTTTGCAAACCTTAAGTTTGGCAGTTTATGGCCACCCAGTGGCCCCGGGGGAAGAAAGACGAGATGACAGCCCAGAGAACTAGTGTGCGGCAGTTCTACACTGTTCCACACAGGGACACCTTGAGCTAGGATTATTTGCAAAAGCAGGTGGATGTGACTTGGAGGGGGCAGTTTTGCTTCCCACAGGTCAGCTGGCAGTGTCTGGACGTAGTTGTGCCTCTGGTTTAGTGGGTAGACCTGGGTACCGCTGAGCCAGTGTGGCCCTAGTGCCCAGAGTGAGGACATCGTCTCCCAACCAGGTGCTGCCCCTATTTGGACCCCCTATGGGGGTCCAGTGGAGATACTGACAAGCTGGGGTTTTCCATTAAACCACACTCTGTTCTTCCCAGATGCCCACCGGCTGCACCATGTCAGCAGCCTGGCTTGGCTGGACGAGCACACGCTGGTTACGACCTCCCACGACGCCTCCGTCAAAGAGTGGACAATCACCTACTGAGGCCCGGCCACAGAGCCACCGAATCAGGGACTAGAAGCGCGCTGCAGCCCAACACGCTCTTCCTCTCCATGTTTCTGTAACGCGCCCTGCCCCGCCCTGCCTCAGGGAGGAGGGCCGGGGACCACCGACTACCCTGGCCTCTTAGGGTGTCCGTGTCTGTCCGCGTCCTTCCGAAAGCTTTAGACAGTAACCGTTTGCACATGACAAATAAAACGAGCACTTGAACCCCGTGTGGAGCCTAACTAACACCCAGCCCAGCCTTTTGCGCCCCAACATTCCAGAGGCACCCAGCCCACCGCCCTGACTCTCTAACGAGGAGGGCCCAGGGGAGCCGGCCGGGGTCCCCACTTCCTGCCTGCACAACATGGCTGTACTGGGGAAGAGTGCAGCGCCGTGCCACCCCAAAACCCGAGGGGGCAGCGGTCTGTTGTGGAGCGTGCCCAGAAAGCTGCGCTCCCGGCAGACCCAGGGCGGGTGTCTCCTCGTTGTCGGTTTTTGTGCTTGCTTTCAACATTGCAATCGTGGTGGGTTGTGTTTGGTATGCATTTCAATGTATCTCACTGTTGCCTGTCTGTTCACAAGCCGTGTGTCAGCGACGCCGTCTCCTGGCATCTGCGCTGTGACGGCTGCCTCTCATCCGCCCTCTCGCTTGGGTGTGTGCCCGCCTCCCTATCCCCTCCTGACCCCCTAAGGGCCAAGGTGAACTGAGGGGCCAGGGTGAAGTCACCCGTGTCCCCGTCAGTCTAAGGTGCCCTGGCCTGCAGTCTCCTTGCGTGTGTCAGAACTGTCGTGAATTTGGGTGAGAAGAGTTCTCCCCTTGCACTTGTGAAAACACTGAGCGCTTTAAGAGATTGGTCTGAGAAATCATTAAAGCTCTTTTTTCTTCGTTGTGGACGGCTGACTGTGTGGTGGGCCAGGGAGGTGGAAGTTTCGGGGAAAACCCATGACCGTAGGATCTTCACTGGACTACAGCCTCCAGAGGAATCCAGGGTAGGCCCGAGAAGTCCCCACATCCTGTACCCATCATTGCAGGACCTGGGCCACTCCATCTCCCTCTGGACCAGTCTCTTCATTTGTAAACAAGACGTTGAGGTAGGGGGTGCTGGGGAATCGCAGTCCCGGCTGGTTCAGTTCTCAGACAAGATGACCTTCCTGGTGGTTAGGTGCCGTGGAGTTTGATGTATACTGTGGTCACCTCATACAACAGGTGAGGGCTTTCTAGGCTGTAATGACGGGAGCAGATGGCCAGGTGTTGTCCACTCCAGAGACACTAGGTTGGTTCAAATCACTAACTTTGTAGTTAGCACATTTAACCCTTGCCACCACCAGGGCCCCTTGAACTTTCTCCTAACCATGTGAGGAGTAGCATGTGTTTGTTGTTGTTATGTGCCGTGGAGTCGGTTCCAACTCAGCGACCCTGTGCAGGGTTTCCAAGGCTGCAAATCTTTACAGGAGCAGAAAGCCTCATCTTTCTCCCGCAGAACAGCTGGTAGTTTCGAACTGCTGACCTTGTGGTTCATAGCCCGATTCGTAACCACTATACTACCAGAGCTCCTTTGTTGTTAGGTACTGTGAAGTCAGTCCCAGCTCATAATGACCCCATGTACAACAGAACAAGATGCTGCCATACCAGCTCCTGCACCGTCCTCAGAATTGTGTTGTTACGTGCCGTGGAGTCAGTTCCAATTCATAGTGACACCCCGCACAGGGTTTCTGAAGCTGTAAATCTTTATGGCAGCAGAAAGCCTCATCTTTGTCCCAAAGAACAGCTGGTAGTTTTGAACTGCCGGCCTTCAGGTTAGCAGCCTGACTCATAACCATTACGCTACCAGAGCTCCTTCATAATCCTTAAGATGACTGAGAAAATGAAATTTCCAAGCCTCCAAACTCATAGTGGAAGACAACCTGCTTCTGGCGTAAGAACACATAGAAGGATGTTTTATCAGTTTGATGAAATCCCAACCCAAGTTGTGTTCTCTCTAGTACTCTAATCAACTGCTTCTACTGCTCTTGTAAAAGAAGATGCTAGAAATCTGGGGGAAAGGGGAGGGCATGGTGGGGGGCAGGTGTCCATCTAATAGCGAAAGTTGGTGTTGCTACCAAAGTCCAGCATTGAACTTTGTCTTGTTGAGAGCCATGGTCAGTTCTGACTCAGCCAGTCTTACAGAAGGAAACTGCCCAGTTCAGGGCCATCCTCACAATTGGTGCTGTTTCAGCACATTGTTGGCAGCTGCTATGTCAGTCCCTCTCCTTGAGGGCTGCCTCTTTCACTGACCTCTCTTACTTTTACCAGAAACATGATTCCCTTTTCCATGGACCAGTCTCCTGATAACATGTTCAAGTGTGTGAGACCAAGTTTCACCATCCTCATTTCTAAAGAGCGTTCTGGCAGTACTTCTAACCAAGACACTTGTTGGTTCTTCAGGAAGTCCTTGGTGCATTCAAAATTCACCAGCACCAGAATTCAACATCAATTCTTTTGGTCTTTGTTATTCAGTGTGCAGCTTTTTGACACAGAAGGTAATTGAAAATACCATGACTTGGGTCAGCTTCAAACTGACATCTTTGCATTTGAACATGTTAAAGAGGTCATTTGCAGCAGACTTGCCCAATGTGATAATTTGTTTAATATCTTGATTGCTGCTTCCATTGGATGTTGATTATGAACTCAAGTACAATGACACCTTAGGCAACTTCATTATTTTCGACATTTATCAACATGTTCTGTCACATATAAAATGGTGTAATCCCTGTTGGGGATTGACTTGTATCCTCCCCAAAAAGGTACGTTGTAGTCCTAACTCCTGGTACCCCTACATTGGGGTTCATGTTTGAATAATAGGGTCTTTGAAGATGTTATCAGTCAGCATGACGCCTTATTGTTGAGTCTAATTGGGTGGGCCCCTTTCCAAATCTGAGTGGTACCCTTAGGAAAGAAGAAAGGTTGGACAGCCATGTAAAGATGGCACTATGGTAAGCCTGGAACCCTGGTAGTGTACTGGATTACCAGTTGGCCTGCTAACGGCAAAGTCAGCAGTTCAAAGCTACCAGCTGCTTCTCAGGAGAACACTGAGGCTTTCTGCTTCGGTAAAGATTTACAGTCTCGGAAACCCTATACAGGGTCTCTGTGGGTTGGAACCGACTCCACAGCATGTAACCACCACAAGATAAGCACTGGACTGCTAACTACAATGTCAGTGATTCAAACTCACCAGTCAATCCTCAGAAATGCTATTGTTGTGTGCTGTGGAGTCAGCTCCGACTCATAGCGACCCTGTACAGGGTTTCTGAAGCTGTAAATCTTTATGGGAGCAGAAAGTCTCATCTTTCTCCAGCGGAACAACTGGTAGTTTCAATCTGCTGACCTTGAGGTTCCTAATTCGTAACCACTTCGCTACCAGAACTCCTTCAGAAACGCTATACAGGGTCACTATGAGTCAAAACCGATGCCATGGCACTTAACAAATGGCACAATGCCTGTGACCAGGGAAGCTGAGAGATGAATCTCCCCGAGGGTCTTCTGAAAGGGTGGCCCTGTGGGTACTCTGCATTCGGTTCTCCAGCCTCCAGAACTCTGAGAAAATGCATTTCTGCCTTTCTAAGTCCCCCAGTTTGTGGACAGCAGTGGCAGCAGCAATGGGTTCAAACAGCAACAATGGAGAGGTTGGCTGTTTGGTTCTGTTGTATATAACGTACTGTGAGTCAGTACCAGCTGGACAGAATGTAACAGTTTGTGGTACTTTGTTACAGATAAAGGAGCTCTGGTGGCACAGTGGTTCGTACTGGGCTTCTAACCATGAACCCACAAGTTGCTCCATGGGAGAAACGTGGTAGTCTGCGTCTGAAAGGATTGACAGTATCTGAAGGCCTATAGGGCAGTGCAGTTCTACTCTGCCCTGTAGCGTTGCTATGAGTGAGAGCTGACTCAGCAGGAATGGGTTTGGTTGTGTGGGTTTTGTTATTGCAGCCCTAGGGAACTTCCCTCCTATGTTCCAGGGGGGTGGGGCGAGGGTGTGAGACGAGCCAGAGCTACAAGTGTACAGACCTACTTCCTGAGATCAAGACCTGGAGCTTGTACACTTGTAGGGCAATCTAGGTCCCCATAGTACAGTCTCTCCATTGGCAGAATAAATGCGGTGATTGCCGGTGATGCTGGCAGGCTTCCTGGGGAAGAAGGTGAGCCGAAGACACCATTACATTGAGGAACGGTAAGAAGCTCTGGTAGCGTAGTGGTTATGAATCGGGCTGCTAATCTCATGGTCAGCAGTTCGAAACTACCAGCTGTTCTGTGGGAGAAAGATGAGGCTTTCTGCACCCATAAAGATTTACAGCCTCGGAAACCCTGTACACGGTTGCTATGAGTCAGAAGCGACTCCACAGCACATAACAACAACAATCAGCTGTGGTACTAACACAGGCATCTCAATAAACTCAAGCATGGCAGGGAGGATGTGGCTCTGAGACGTTTAACATTGGGACACTAGGGCTTGTTTCTGAAGTCTCGACCCAGTTTGTGCACATAAGTCAGGCCAACCAACATACTTCCGGTAACATGACTGTTCAACAGTTCTGCCTTTTTTAATTCTTCCCTCTTCACTTCCTCCTCCTCCTTTTCTTCTACCTTTTCTTCCTCTCATTCCTTTCTTCCTCCCTTCTTACCTCCTTTCTCTCTTACTACTCTCTTTCTCCCTTCTTTTTTCCTTCTCTTCATCCCCTTTTTCCCCCATTGGATTTGGAAGCAGCATTGGTAATATTTGGCCCCCACTTCTTGTTGTTAGGTGCCATCTAGTGTGTATGACTCATAGCGACCCTATACACAACAGAACGAAACACTGCCCAGTCCTGCACCAACCTATGCCCACTGCTGCTGCCACTTGGCCAATCCATCTCACTGGGGGTCTTTCTCTTTTTCTCTGACCCTCCGCTTTACCAAACATGATATCCTAACCTGAAGTATGAGAGATGAACTCTGGCCATCCTGGCTTCCAGGGAGCACTCTGGCTGCACTTTTTCTAACACAGATCAGTTTGTTCTTTTGGCAGTCCATGGTAATTTCAATATTGTCCTTTATCACCATAACGCAAATACATCGATTTT